AGCCCGCGGCGTTCTGGGTTCTGCCTGTATCTCCACGGCTGGACGGTAGCACGGCGGGGCGGGGGGTGGCTGGGTGGGTGTTAGCGTTCGTTTCCCTCGCCCTCGGCAGCCAAATGGAGGTTTTGAGGCCCTTTGCTGGGAGCCACCATGTTCCCTTGTTGTCTGTCGTAAGTGGCTCTTGTCGGGCCTGTTTTGCAAGAGCAAAGGGACTGTGAAGGTTTCCAAGGACTGCGGTGTTTTTGTTATTGCACGTTTATATTCTGGTGAATATTTATCTCCTATAAAGGCTGGGCACCTTCCACATTATCCAATTCCTAATGCGATAGCTGCAGTTAGGTAGAGAGATCTCCCAGAGTGATAAAAAGGCCTTAAAAATAACAAAAATAATCAGTGTGCTGCAAGGAACATTGCCTCAGGAAATTAAAAACTATATGGCATGGTGTGTGAGATGTATACCTGCTTGCTCTCAGCCAGCACAAAAAGCTGTTCTACCTGCTCTGTTGTTAATTCCAGCTCCTGTTCTGTCAACCAGGGTCTCAAAAATACTTCACACCACCCTGCCTCTTACAGAGATAGATCAGCATCTGTCCAGAGAATGGTGCTGCGGCTGCGAGCACCATGGAGTCAGCAGCAAGTGAAAATGTTCTTTCTGTGAGGGCAGCATACATTCAGATAATTTGACAGCAAAGTGGAAATTTTCCTTCTGCTGCGGATATGCTTACATTTGAGAAGCAAGGAAACTTGTCAGCTCAATCTCGGGAAAAATTAACCACTTCTTTGATTCCTTGGTTTGGGTTTTTTTCCGCAGCCTGGTCACTTCTCCAGTCGAGTTTACCGAACATTCCCATAGCATAGCAAGGGTAGAAACAAGTGAGTGAGGAAGGGGACAGATGGATGAATTGCTGCTTAACTCTTGCTGGTGGAGAACTTAATGCTGAACCGGCACCTGAAGGTTCAGCTGTTGTGATGCTCTGAAGTGCATAAGTCTCCGTGGGTCGAGCCTGAAGTGACTTGCGCTATATCCCACAGAACGTTTGTGTTAGAGCAAATGATGCTGGTTTTTGCAACGGTGGTGACACATTTGCCATTTGAATGTATTGCACTCAAACTTTATTGTGATAGTAACAGGATATAAAGTTTTCTGGATGTGTATTATAACCAATTACTTTAGTAGCAAATGTCACAGTTAATGTGTCTATTTCCCAGGGAGATGACAGCCTGTCTGTGATAACCTGTGAATCAGATACAGAAATGGTGAGTTTTATTAATGGTGCACTGCGGGTGAATGCCTTAAAAGGCCTCTCAGCATGTCCTTGCACACAGTACATCCACGTGATCCCTCCTGATCGATAAGACACCCTTCAGAGAGGAGAGCTAACAATGTTATTGCAATGTAGTTTGATTCAAAAACCTCCTCTAATTCCAGATGTAATTCTGGCTTCTAAATTCTCAGCACTGGGGGATGCAAATGATGTTTGGCTTCATTTCGCTGTTCTATCAAGTTACGGGCCTAAGTAATCCTTTTACAGAGTTTTAATGGAGTTGAATAAGTTTCCCTTAGCTAAATGGTTCTACAAATCAGCCTCTACTCTGTGATCATCTTGAATTTGCTGCTACTTGTATTTAATACTGATGGGGAAGGTCTTAGAGTTCTGAGTGTGACTACTTTTTATCTGTAACATAAAACTTCAGTAGGCACCACCTTAATTGTGGTGACTGTTGCTGTGGCCAAATCTGCTACTATTTTTATTTTCTACACAGAAAATTTTGTGTTACTAGAACAAGTGCTCTTCATACAAAATGGAGATTGAAGCCAATTTTGAGCTTATCTATTTTTATTTTCTACACAGAAAGTTTTGTGTTACTAGAACAAGTGCTCTTCATACAAAATGGAGATTGAAGCCAATTTTGAGCTTATATCTGAAATCTTTGAAGAGTGGAATATTTTAAATACATTAAAAATTCTTACTCTCTTCCAGAAGTTAAAGAAGAAAATTTTCCACAAGCCTCCAAAGTCACCAAGTAAGTGTTCCAAATTTTTTTCTTCTGCTTCTGTTATTGCAGAACAAGATAGATTTCTGTGGGACACAGGAACTGGAAGATTTATTTGAAAAAACATCTTATTATTCTTTTCAGAGTTATTCACTGGTGCGCGCAGAGCACATCTATCTGAGATTTGTTCTGTAACCGGTGAAGTTAGACTTTTGTAGGCTAAATGTTGAAGTTTATGGGTTAGTTGTAATTCTTGATTCTCCAGCATAAACTATTTTCTTTTCATGTTGTCCCTTCTAATGGCAAGCATTCTGAATTTCTCTTTATCTTTTTGGAGAAGTGCTGATACTTGCTATGTAGAAAGAATCTAGAATTACTGTAGCTACCTACCCATCCAGTAGATATCTTTGTTTGCAGATTAAGCAGTTCTCTGTTTCATTTGTTGGGGGCGGGATTCACATGATCTTAGAAGTACAATGTTGTTATTAGATCTGCAGGTTTAATACGGGGTTTTGTCTGGTTTTCTGGGTTTTATATACTTTTCCATTTACCTTCCTTTTTATATTTCCAGTGAATGTTTCAAAGAAGACTTTTCCTCAAAGTGTTGCTGATTGTTTTGTTTCTAATAAATTAAATAATGTTGCACTTTTAAATTTTGCTTTAGGTTGTGCAAGAGATGTTCTTCTGGTAGATGTACATCTATCTTCTTTCTTTTCCTGAAATCCCTTTACGTGCCTAAACAATCGAATTTAAAATAGCTGTTTAATTTTAGCTATGATGTTTGTTACATTGTTTCTTACTGTACTTCGTTTGGTAATTTGAAGACTAACTAGTGCACTATAGTGCACATCTATACTAATAATTTTGAGTGGAATTAGTGTCAGTTTTTGAACCTGACAGCCATACCTGAAGCAGCAATAGGAGGGGCTCTCCAACAGCAGCATTGGACCAATTCTGTTGATTACTGCAAGAAAATTGCTAGCGGATTAATAGCTATACAATTACTTTTGTCTGTGTAGCATACATATTACTGTCACTATGCCTTTCTTCATTTTTTGGAATTGGACTTTTTCTTTATCGTGGCTACTTTTTTTAGGTGAATGTACCATTGCTCTGCATAAGCCAGTATGTAGTGTGCTGTTAAATTCTATTCTTATAAGTAATAGGACTGTGTCTGGGAACCTTAAAACACAAGACAGAAAGAATAGTTGTGACCTGGGGCTTTGTAAGGCAATGCTGAGGTATTTTCTTCTCTTTTAGAGTCTCCATACAGCTCTAGCACACAACTGTATCCTAAAAAAGCTGCAGTTTGGCGATCTCTGCAGGGAACAGGCAGTGCACGTCTCGAGAGCGCAGCTGTAAAAAACCCAAGGCAGATGTGGTTGGGATCGCTGAAACAAGGTATAAGCATAGAAACTTTATCTGCATATGTGGATAAAATTCAGTGTTGTGGGCAGCTTAACGTATAAACTCTTAAAAAATAGGTTTGTGTTTGATTATAGGCTACATAGGAAGTCATTTCACTATTATTTATTTGGGTGGTTGGAATTATCTGATCTTGAGCATTGGAATTTATAGCGGGAATAATTAACAGCATCTGGAGCTTTCTATGTTACATTTGCTCAGAATAAATCCACAAATTTAATTCGCAATTATCCCTGATTTTTGCATTTTTGTTCTATTTTTGTTGGCAGGAATGAGCCATCCTCTGAAATCAGATGTTGTCATGGGTCATATGCGAACAAACATTGCTAGCAGCACTCCAGAATATTTGAAGGAAGCTCTAGGAATGAAGAAGCCAAAACATTCTCGTTCTTCTAGTAATGGTAAACTATGTAATGGTGTGGTGGATAAAAGTTAATGATCTTTTTTCCATGTAAAAACACACCTTGCTTAAGATCTTAGCTTTAGTAAAGCAAGAGCCATTTCAGTTTAACTTGTATTAAAATATATGTGTCAAAATATGATCCATGGGATACTTTTTGAGATTTCTAAATTGGATAAGACAGGGGTTTCCAAAATTTTTGAGCAATGAATCGCTATTAGCTTTCAGAACTTTTTGCAAATTGCCATGCATTTGCAGCTGAAAACATTGCAAATATAATATGGTTCAATGGGCCAGCTGTAGACAATTTATTGTGACTTTGCAAAACATAGTTTAGGAACCATTGATAGAAACCATCTGCTTGCCTGAAATTCTATGTAATTGACTCCTTTTACTTCTTCTCTAGAAAGTGTTTTATCATGTGGTTGTGATATTAAAATCAATTGAGTTTTATGAGAAGAGCAAAATTTAAACCTTTCATCCTGCTTTTCTTAAAGGAGAACTGTAAACTGAAAAATCCTACTTCCATTTAAAATGACACCTATAGTGTTACTGGTAATACACAGTTTCTGGCAGCTTTGAAAGATGATAGATTTTTACACATTAGGCATAAATAGAAAAATGTATTCTGGACACCTTTTAGAAATCTTTTGTAAATAATTGATTTGTTGGGATGAGAAGACTGCAGTCTTCTGTGAAGTGTGTATCTTTCTTGAGATGGATATTTTAATCTAGCACCAGAGAGAAGTAATTAGGAGAAATTTGCTGTAAAATCTGGCAGAAGTTTCATACAGTAACATCTCCACTTCACCTCCATTTCTAAAATTAATTTCCTTGCTGATTTTTCTTCTTCTCAGAGAAAAAAAAAAAGCTTAGTTTCCAGTTTGGTGCTGTTCTAGATATTTCCTTTAATTGCAAGGTTTCTGGTTAGTGAAAAATACCTCTTTCAGATCTGCTTATTTTACGTACCTTTTTCTGTAGGCTACATTCCTGGAACTCCTGACTACAAAGAAAAAGAAGATATGTATGATGAAATTATAGAACTGAAAAAGGTACAGTCTCTCTGATACTTACACAGAAATCATAGGGTTGAACTGAAAAAGGTACAGTCTCTCTGATACACAGAAATCATAGGGTCGATCCATCCACCTGTAGATGTCCAGGCCTTGTTGGTTCAGAATACTTTGGTTTCTACAACTGGGACATCCACCAAATTTTTTTGCATTTGTAATGTAAGGCTAAACTAAACTTGTGTCTGTTTAAGGCAATTTCATTGTTCTTATGGTGTGATAGATACTTCTGAGTACTGGATGTGGAAGCCCTGAAGTAAACCCAGTCCTTGAACCCCAGCCATGGCCCTAGCTGGACGCTGAAAAGGTTCATTACATTTGGTTTCTTTGTCCCTCCACCTCCCCCTTTTTTTTTTCCCCCTGGCTGTTACCCATCACTTTTTAACAATTTGTCAGTTGAGTTTAGTGCAGCGTATGAAAGGTCAGGACTGGGCATGTTGAACACTAGGGATGCCTGTAGACAAATATCTTGGCTGTTTTAGATCATTTGTGTGAGGTTGCCTTTCTGTTAAACCTTTTCCTTTTATCTTTGCCCTGTCACCTCCCTTATCTGTCAGCCCTGGTCCAGTGTGATGGTCTCTCCCCCCCCTCCTTTCGCTTCATCCTGACCATTGTAATTGGATTGTTACTGACGTCAAAACGTGTTTCCATGTGAAATCTCAGTGTGTTTCTATTTCTGAAATGTGCTTACAATTTTTCTCCCCTCTTTTAGATGATACAAGCTCAAAAAAATGAGGGAGATCGAATGAAAACTAAGCTCCGTCGACTAGAAGAAGAGAACAATAGAAAGGATAAACAGATTGAGCAACTGTTGGATCCTTCCAGGGTGACTATTTCTTGGGGGGATAAAAGCGGGGCAAGAGTGCTGAGCAGTGTGATCCTCTTCTCCTTGTCTCTCTAGATTTCAGGACTCTCTAGTGTGTTGGCTCCTAGGAACGATGAGCTTGAATGAGGGGTGGTTGGTTGGTGTGAAGGGATTTCTGTTTTGAGTATCTCAGCTCACCATTCCAGCTCAGTTCAAAGAAGATCATGCCATGCTGTGCAGATAAGTTTATTGAGCAAAGGTACTTCTAATTTCTGAAGGTAAAATTAAAATGCTGTCTCTAAAGAGGCCCACTTTCTGAATATTTTGCCTCAGAGTAGAAGGGAGTTAACGTCTTGCATGGTGACTGACGCATGCAGTCCTGAGACCTGAACCAGGGAGGAAAAGATGAGCCTTATTGCCAGACCCAGGACGCTGAGAAGCATTTAGGGTCATAGTTAGAAGACCTGAATTTCACTGAATTCCTGGTGGCTGTCATTTTCTGCATGCAGATCTACATCTTGGGAGAAGTGTGCTAATACGAAACAATGAGCATAGGGACTTCAGAATTTAAGCTGTTGGACTGTGAAATGACTGTGGAGATGAGTAGGTTAGAAAATTCTGTGGAAAGAGCTGGCAGTAGCATAAAGTAGCAAGGTTGGTCACTTGCTTTATCTGTCTTCTCCTGCAGGGCTTGGAGCTGGCACGAACTTTGTCAGAAAAGAAGACTGATAATGGATGGGTAATAGTTTCTTCATTACCTTCTGCTTTCATTTTTCTTTTTTTCCTCTTGCCAAGCTGAAGCACTACTGATTAAAAAATAAAATGAAGTAAGAATAAGCAATTAGGGAATCATGTAACCATTATTTCTGTAGTCAGATAAGAAACCAGTAGCAAAGATCTGGAATTAACATTATTTTAGGGAGCCGCTTTTGTCACTGTCTTGAATCTGTTTAGGGATTATTCTCCCTATTATTTGCTTCTTCGAATTTAGCAGGTAATGGGCAGAGTTTTTATTTAATGATTGTGGATAAACATTATTAAGCTAGTTATGTTACCACAGATAAAACTTAGGGATCTGATTTCATTAGTGCTCTCCTTGTCACAGGGTAGCAGACACGTGTGTGATTTACTGAGTACTGAAGTATGTAGGAATATTTATATCCGGTTAGGTACAACTTAGAAAGACAGGGCAAGATCATGGAGAAATGGAACTTCTGTGAAGAGACGGATTATTCTAGGACTCATGAGCTCTTTGTTCTTTCTGTAGGTGGTTAGTGGATTAAAGCAGAAGATTCTCAAGCTAGAACAACAGTGCAAGGAGAAAGACAACACTATTAAGTATGACTTTGGGGGGATAGAGGCTTGTATTGGATGAGATAATAAAGGGAATTTGAAATCCATGTTATTTTTCATCTGTATTCTTCTGTTCCTTAAGATGTTTTAATGAACTCTGAGAACGTATTAGCAATTATAAACCACCCACCGAGAAATTGTAAACCAACAGGTATTGCAGCATCTTTGCTGGTCTGACTGAATTATTTTTTGTATTATTCTATTTTCAGCAAATTCCAGGCAGACATGAAGACCACTAATTTGGAAGAAATGAGGATAGCTATGGAAACCTACTATGAAGAGGTATGTCTGACAGGTCCTTCAATGTGCATACAGGAGAGGAAGTCGTTCAGTTGTTGAGTCGAAGTATAAATGGAATGTTTCAGATAGGTTTCTTACAGCTTAGCTGCACCTGTCTTTGGAATCAGATTTTCATAGATATTCTCATCGCTCCAAATATATGTACTGAAAAACATTTTTTCTTCAGTAAGTTGAATATGTTAATCAAAAAGCATAAATAAACTAATGTACATCCATAAGTGTCTAGATGAAAGCCAATATAACAGTAGCCTGATTTTCAGTGATGGCATCATTGCCTCTGCTACTACCCAGAGAGTCTTGTTCTGATTTTCACCTAACGGACAAATGTGTTGCATTAGCAATGTCAGCTTCCACAGCTAGCTCCTTAATGGAATCTATATTTCATATTTCACAGGTTCATCGTCTCCAACTCCTCCTGGCAAAATCTGAGTCTATGAGGAAAAAGTATGTTTAATTCTTTTGAGGCAAATGTTTGCGTATATGTGTTTGATATATCACTTGTATACTACTTTAACTGATGGAAAACAACTACATGGTAACAGTTTATTTTGTCATTTAGATTGCTGGATTTGCTTTTTGTTACTGCTTTAGTTGGCTTCACAACCTTGGGATATGTCTTAGTCAAGTTGTTTTTTCTTGTAGATAGATCATTTTGTGGATGTGGAAAAAATATTAGAGCTATTTAAAAAGTACATGAAAAATTTTAAAATTTATCTCTGTTAAATAAAATCCATCTTCCCCCATAATCACACCTATTCTGATATCAGTGGTGATTGAAACAAACTCACTAGATGTTTGACATTTTACTTGAGTCGATTCTGCATCTTGCTCTAGGGTGTACGCTGCAAAGAAGGTATTTTGGAGTAAACATTTTCCTGTGGTACAGAGAGACAGATCTGCACATCAGGGTAGCTTTTGTGAGATATCCATGAGTGGCACTAGTAAGACACTGTCAGAGAAGCTTGTACTAGTGCTTGTCATTAGTGTGCGGGTGTGTACACGGTGGTGAGGGTAAACGGTCTATAGAGAAAAAAAAATCAAAGCACTAAGGCGAAAGACAAAGCTCCAGTAAGAGAGCAAAGTAAAAGCATCTATGCAAGTGAGTCTTATTTGAGCTGAGAAGAGGGTAATAGTCTCGTGGGATAGGAAAATTTGTTACCACACCACTTCAAAATATCCTTGCCCTCCTAGTGTTAAGTACAGGCAACTATCTTAATTTTGGGTGTATTTATTTAGATTGATAGAAACATACGAGAACTCTTTATGGGTCATTATGTATACTACTTGTGTTTCCCTAATTCACTGTCTCTTGTGGATTGAAAACTGCAATTTGTTTTGTCACTGTTTTTTAAAAAAAAAAAAAAAATCTCTTTTGGCTCAGGCATGCAGTGACTAGCCTCTCGAGGCTGTAAGCCATCACACCTAATTTATTTACAGGTGAAAATGAGTCATCAGGTCTCTTCCTTGTCCTCATTTATTCGTAGCTTCAAAAAGCAGTGGTCAGGGCAGTCTCTCTCCATTATGTGACTGTCAGTCTCTACTTGAGAGGCTGAGCACTGAAATAATAAATGATGTTGAAGGTCAGGACTCTGGCACATAGAAAGCGTTGTAGGAGAGTGTTTCTTTCATGATGCTTGTCTATGTTATTTCTGGCTGAAGTGAATGGCATTTAGCTCCTCTTTTTCAGTGTTAACACTGAAATACGGTTATTTTCTATGTGAAGCTGTAGTATCCAATTGTAGCTAGAAACTAGGCAACCTTTCAAGTCCTCAAAATGGTCTGCAATTCTTTCATTTAGGTTTTGATGAGCCTAAAATAATGGTACTCAGTGATACAGTTATGATTTCTATAGCTTCTGTCATTTCCCGTTTTGGTGGTGTGTTGTGTTTTGGTTTTTACTCTTTTTTTTCCTCCTGCCTGGGACAGCTGTATGAATAGTCATCCATGACATCTGGACAGCCTTATTTGCTTGTTTTTATGGCTTTGTTTCCTTTTAATTTCCAGAAGGTAGATTAGATTCAGCTTTTCACTCTGATATGCTAATTACAGACTGTCTCCCCCTTTACCTTGTAATTATTCCAGTGGATGGGATGTAAGATTCCTTCACAAACTGTTCTGTGATTGTCATTGGCAGTGGCATTTGTCCAAAAGTAGGTCCATCAGTTACTTCAGACCTTTGTTTCCAGAAGTAAGTTTTTAAGAATTTTCTCAAAGCAATAAAGAACAAGTATTTCATCTCACTAGAAATCTGTTTTGTGAACAGACTTTACAACTTTGCGCATCTAGAATCTGAGATTTCTTCCCTCTTTTATTAGAAAAATTAAAAAGGCAAAATCACTGTAATATATTTAAAACAGTTTTAACACATAGTAGGCTTTCCCTTTTCTGATGCCTTTTATTCCCATCACGTCAATGTTAGCTGTATTCTTCAAATCTGTTTCAAATCTCTCGTCAATTGAAATGTATCTTGAAGAAAGAAATTTCTCTGGGGTTTACTTTCACAGGAATAGTTCCTTTTATATTAGAGCAGCATTCACAGTTATCTGAAAATACACTTGTGTGTTGGATTTGTTTGAGAGTTATTCCATCTATGTATAGGGCGCTCTCTCTCCCAATCTCAATCTGTCATTTAAGTGAAAGAAAGCAATTCAGAGCACGCAGGTTAGCTTTCTGTGCTGAACAGTTTTTTGGAGGAGTCTCCCAATTGGCTGAAGATAAGTGTTTTTAAATCAGAGGTCCACAGGGTGCTGGTAAAGCATTAGAAGGTTGGTTAACAAAACAAATAGAAAACCAAGTAAGTAAAACTCATACAAGCACCCTTGTTTATGCGTTAGTGAAACAGAGTGGTGGAGGAATTAAAACTAATAAATGAGCTTTCAAAGTTTCAACGTATCTTCTTTCTTTGACGCAAATTAAAACAATTGTGAAAGTGTTGAGCAAGATGGTCTTTGCATGTTTTTTCCTAAAAGAATAGGTAACTCCTCAAGTAAAAAATGTTGAGAAATGCTATTGGGGGGGAGCTGAGACAGTTAACTTAGCCAGCTGACTTGAATAGTGAGGCTATTCCACTCTTTTTAATGCTGCTTCTTTGTTCTCTACTTTTAAGTTAACTTTCTGGTTTTGACCCTGTTTCCAAGTACAGAGGGCAGAGATACCCAAAAACGACTAAAGGCACTGAATGCTGCTGTCCTGAGACTATCCAGGAACATCAAGGAATTGCAGAATGAGAATCGGAGGCTGAAAGAAGATCTAGATCATGTACTGAGCAGTTCTCCTCCTTCCAATAAAACAAAAAGTACGTGCTGAAAAGTTGGTGAACACGGGGCAAGGGATTTAGGTACATTTGAAAGATGTGTTTGAGAGCAGGACCCTACAATGGTAGAAATAAGGGAGTTATTACAAAGGTGAAGACTCAGGAGGGGCAAAGGTTGGAATGAGAAGTTTCTTACAGGAGTCTCTCTCTGAATTCTGCATATGCTGCTCCAGTCAGACCTGGGTTTCCTTTAGTATTATCCCTGAGAATTCTGGACTGGAATCACTTGAAGATTTAATGTTTCACTGGAAAACTGTTTTTCAGTTGTTGAAAACTGATGAATGTGAATGGTTTATATTGATTTCTGAGCTAATTGGTGTAGAAGTCAGATACTTTAAGACCATTCTCATTTTTTCAGTGCTGCATATTTAAAGTTGGGGGTCAGGTCTTTAGATAGTCTTTCTATATGGACAGAAGTTTCAAAAAGCAAGAACAATGTTGACTCACTGATATAGTTTCATGTTTAAAGCTTTGTTATTGTATTTAGATTATAGTGAGTGGAGCAGACAGAGGCTGGTGAGGCGGATTTCAGAACTAGAAAAAGTAAGTGGTAATAATCACGTGGTCATCTTACCTGTCTTTGAGCAGAAAATGGAGAACCACTGGCTTGTGCTCATGGCATGTAGTCCTTCAGTGTATCAGCCTTGTGCATTCTGGCTCATACATGTAAACTGGTGTCTGTACCATATGCCCTTCCTCCCTTTTTTCTTTCCTCATACTTGTTGCATATAGATGCACACTTTAGAATTAACTTCCGTTTGATCTTTTCTCGCGGCCTAGATAAAATCATTTTATGCTAAATTTAATTTTCTTCTTTTTTCTTTTGTATTTTTTGTGTACATTTATCCTGTTTAGAAAGTGTGTGCCATGGAGAACACCAGGGTGTCATCAGCAGATAGTGAGTCATCACAGTTACTTGCTGTGTCATCTTCGCCTTCTGTAGACCTGGATCATCCAGCCTCTCAACAGATAGACCATGTTGAGGAATGTCGCCGCCTCCAAGGGCTAGTGAAGAAACTGAAGAGTGATAGGAAGGCACTTCAAAATCTCCTACTCAATAAAGAGTAAGCGTGACTCGTCTGAGATGTTGTTCTTTTGTAGGTGTGAATTATTTCATTATTTCCTGTCATGTTATGAAACGATGTAATAAGTCCTTCACATTTGCAGCAAGAAAATGAATTTTGAGGGTCCCTTCAGCTTTTATTTCAAAAGCTTCTTCTAGTCCTACTAGCGTTGTAAAATTACATTGCAGAAAAAAAAGTCAGTGAGAGGATGGAAAAAAGAATTTCTACTTGTTTCTAACACATTTTTCAAGGCATGTTTTTTTGCCAACCGCACTGAAAAGCCTTTGAAGGGTTATATGTCACTTTACGCAGCACTTCTTGCAAGTATTTTGCTGTAAAAATTTGTCTTGTTTTTTCCAACACGTTTTTATCCTGATCTACCACTTTCTCCATTTAAGCCTGCCTTCTGCCATATGATGCACTGTGACTTCTTTTCTCCCTAGTAAGCAATTGATTTGCAATTTGTCTTGCTTGGACTCATTTGGTGTGTCAGTGCATAAGGGCAGGCAGGTCAATCTGATCACGATCAGAGATGTGCACACAACTATGTATTGTTGATAAGACACGCTGCCTCCTGCGTCAACTCGCCTCTGAACAAAGATGCGTAGTGAGAGCATGCGAAGAGGCCTTTTGCTTCTGAACAATGTACGCTTGCATTCTGTTTTGTTTAAAAGGAAACTTTAGTTACTTTACAAATTTGAGAACCTATTTTATTTAGAAGTTTAAACAAAAAATAACTACTTTGTTGAAGTGTGAATGTCTTAAGTATTGCTTAGATTTCCTTGCACCTTTGTAGGTTAGATATCAAGCAGTTACTGCAGGCTAAGGCTGAAGTGGAGCTGGAGCTGCAGAAGTGGCGGAATAAGATGGAAGAAAAGAGTACAGAAGAGCAGACTTTAAGGTATCATATTTTGTATTAGCAGATCCTTTCAGAACCAAAAATATCCATTAAAGTATAATTCTCTTTTGAAGAGGCTCAAATTCATAGGAGTGAACTGCAGGAAGCTGGGAATTCATTTAAACAGAACTGTTTTGGAGGGATGGAGTAAGTTACTATGGGAAGAATTCTATAGAGTGGTTTTAGAGGAAGTGGAAGACTAAGAAGCATAGTAAAAATAAGAATTAAATTATAATAAAAATTAGTAAGATAAATGGAAGAAGAAAGCTGCCATGTTGGGCTCAGAGACTTTTTTTTTCTCTTTCTAAGAAAAAAATAGTATCTTTACCTTAGCCTATGCTTCTATACCATTGCCAATATGTCATTCCATTTACGTCATGTAGTCTGTGTAACTGTTGATAATAAATCCTGTGCAAGGGTGGCAAAAAAAAGTTATCTCATTATTGCTTTGTAAGAAAGGACTTTGACAAATATGAAACTGTAGCAGATCTAGATGCAATATTAATGGTATCAAGGGTACCACTGTAACCTTAGGACCTTTTAATTTCAACGTAAGGCAACTATCACAACTTGAGAATTGATGTTATGTGTCTGTTACTATAGGAATATGTATCATGTTATCCTGAGCAGCTTCCCACTTTGGCCTTTAAAAAAAAACCAAAGCAGCCAAATCTTATGAAATAGGTTCAGTATTTTCAAAGCAGTAACAACAGAAAATTTCTAGCTATAAATCTTTGCTTTTCCAACTGTAGTGAGGAAATCCAGAACCTGACACAGAAAGTAGGGAAACTGGAGTCAAAATTGGAGGAAGAGAAGAGACAAATGGTGGAAGATACAATGGAAAAGCTTAATAAGGTACAGACACGTTTTTGTTCGTGGGGTTTTTTTTCCCCTTGCATCTAACTAAAATATTGCAAATTGAGCTGATAGTCTAAATAGCTGCTAGTTGTGTCTTTTCACAGAGGCATTAAATCTTGTCATAGAGATTCTGAATTCCCAGAGTTTGTTGATGAGTTGTTTCAATAATTACCACTGCAACTTGGGGTTTTTTGGAGCTGTTCTCTTACTGATTATCTGCCCCATCATCACTTTTTTCTTATTCAGTGGAATGTTGCAAAAAGCTTACCCTTCTAAGTGTTTGGGTTTTATTGCCTTACTTTCTAAGAAGAAAAAGACATTTGTAGTTTTGCTTATATCTGCTTATAACATCTGAACCCATCAGCTAATTTCAGTCCAATTTTGTAGAGGGAGGGAGGTCTTGCAGGAGTTGACAGATAAAGGATAGAGACACAGGTAAGTGTGCTTGCTGGCAGACTGGCAAAAGACAAAAAACCCTTTTCAATGATTTTTATGCTGGTCAGGTGATCACTTAGGGCACATGTGCTGTCCAGTCAGAAAATATTCATTAGCCTTTCTGTTTGGATGGAAGCTGGGTACTTTTTCATGGGAAGGTGTACAGGATGTAGAGCACTAATCATCATGAAAATTGAGGGTTCTTTTAATTTCACTGCTGATGGGACACCATATTTGAGTAAAGAATTAGGGAAGATGTCAATACAATAAAATAAACCCTTATCCCCTTTGAATTGAAGTTTTTCTAGAGTTGAGGTATTCATAACCTCTTCTTTCTGGATTTTCCAGTATCTAATAAATATCTTTTGCGCATCTGTTAATCCTGGACAGTCTTAAATGGGGCTCTGTAATCAGTTGGGGTTTTTTTGTGAAATATGACCGAACTTGATATCTTTGCAGTCTTCCATCCTTCTGCCAAACGTTGTTGTAACTAGCCAGCAGAGATGAATGGGCACTGACAGACATGCTTTCAGATGCAGTGTGGTCTTGTTAATCTCATTTCACTAAAAACTAGTTGAAAATTATTACTGGGGATTTTAATCTTTTGTACTTGAAAATAAATAGACCCTGAAATACAGGTAGTAAAAAATATGAATAAAAATGTCCAGTAGCTTAAGGGGGTGCTGGTTTTTGATATACTGTGCAATTCTTTAGATTCTTTTTTGTGCGTTATAGGCTGACGTTTTGAATAGACAATGTTTTGAATACCAAATAACGTGAGTCTTTAAAAACAGCCAACAAACAGCTCCTTTTTCCCTCCACAGACTATATATATTCTTGGCCAGTAACCATCCATTTATTGAAATGTTCCCATTATTTGTAATTATCACTAAGTTCCTACCAATTTTTCATTTTAATAGTAGGTTGTCATTTTTAATACAACATGATCCATTTGCTAAACTTAAGCCTATAACTCAGTGTTTTTAGGTTATAAATAAATCCTTTTCACAGAATCAAGAGGGTTTTTTCAGAGTATAAAATCTCTTGTTCCTCCGCTTAGAATTTTACACCAACAAATTAAATTAGTCTTTTAAAATTGCTGTTAACTTTTGTTTGGCAAGTGAGGTACGACAATTAGTATGGGATAATTAGGGATCAAAAGGATCAGATGGTGGGAGGTGGAATATGCAACCACAGCTCAGAAGAAATAACTGGAACAAAATCTCTTTTTGTTCTTGGTTTCTGTCTTTTTCCTCTAATTAATTTGTTCAAGATAGAAGAGGAGAGTTATGCCAGTTTACACAAGCTCTCCGTCTTGTCAGTGTCGTATGATGGCCAACTCATCAGTAAGCTTAAACAGATGATTATGGGGCCGCAGTTGCCAGGATGAGACATGAGAGAGCTCCCCAGTTAATTAATACTAGTCTTTCCTGGAGAAGAATTGCAAAATTAGGTATCTTGACTTTTGTTCTCAGTCTGTCGATAACATACAAACCATTTCTGATCAACAAAGCAGTGGGTTCCACTGTTGGAGCTCCTATTGCTTTAGCAATGCATAGAAAAATAGGAGTATGTGTAAATGAAAACCTTTCCGTTCCCATGCTCTGCTAACAGCTAAAATGGGGACAGGAATGTGTTTCATTGTAACAGTCATCTAGATGATGAGTTGGAACAGGAGCAGTATTCAGAACCAAGAGTTTCCTCTTTTAACTTCCTTTCGCCCTGCAGGCAGGATGAACTTTTAACAACTCTGGTGCTGCGTTTTCTGAGTCATTTGTAACCTGTTTCCCTCATAGAATTCCAACTTGTGTCTTTAGTGTACTAAGTTAAAGAATTCTCCTTTGCAGTCTTCACCAGTCTGCACGGTTAAAGGCAAAGAAGATCACAGGAAGGAACAAGCAGCCAAAATCATCCAGAGACAGTGGAAGATGTACCGAAACAAGGTGAGATTCTCTTACTGGGGAACAGTGAGGACATCCCCCTCTGAATCTTACTCTTGTTTTAGCATCTACAGCAACCTGCTGCCAGGCTCCAGGAACTGCAGCAGTGCTTCCCGGTATGATTCCTTACCACCATCTTCTCTTCCACTGCTTTTTTCAAGTCCTCCCTGCTCCTTCTTTTGCCTTTGCTCCCTAGAACCCTGTTGTTTCTGCTGTGAGATAGGCAGTTTCTGAATGGGGGAGTCTGGGTGAGCAGAGAACTAAGGAAGTGTAGCAATGCTTGAAGCAGCGCTGTTGCTGTTGCTTGCTTGGAGTATGACTGAGAAGTTAAATTCCCCTTGCAGAAATCCTCCAAACAATACAGGAAGTTTTGTGTATTGAGTTACACTCAACTAGAACAAAATGATCTAGAAAAAAGGCGTTAACCTTAGATTTTGTTCTATGGGCAACAACATAATGGTGCTTTTTCCACATATAGGACATATGGTATGAGGTGGGTCTCGTAAATACTTCCTAGGAAACTAAAGACAAAAGAACTATCCACACATCTTTCAAAGATAAAAAGCTTCCCCACCCCCC